ATACGCACTGGACACAGCAGGATGCCGGTTTCAACACACAGCACCTGGGGTGAGTTAAATTACATTTTATTGCATCCTATATATTCACTGTTATTTATTATGTTTGTATGATCCTGATGAAAGTCCACAAGGAGGACTGAAACGTTGATCTTGTTTTAAACACTTCAATAAAGTAAGTGCAGCCAGCTACTTTAACTACATATATATATAGTTATTACATTAACTACAAAAATATAAAGTTATTATTATTTTTTATTTTTTTTAATGGGGAAAGGGATAGGAACTGAGAATATCAGAGAAACTGTGGCAAGAAAAAATGGGATAACCCAAAGTAAAGAGTAATTGAATAGAAAAGTACTTGCCTACTAGTGTCAATTTAATTAAAACATAACAATCAATAGATTAGTTTAAAATATTAGTGTTGAAAAACAACAGATAAACTCAAAAGATATTTCTTAATTCTAAGACTATCAATAGTATAAACCCAAAAAACAAAACAAAAAAATGTATAAAGAAAACGAAAAAATTGATTTTTAAAAGAAAAAGACTAATATCAAATTATCCAATATAAGATGAAAAGTATATGTGAGATAAATTAATGGTCAATTTGTTGTTCCTGGGATTGCAGGATGAGCCCAAGTATAAGAAATGTATGGTGTGACTTTAAAGATGCCAGTAAAACTGAAACTGGCAATCCTAAAAGACACAAAGTATCAATTTAGTAAATATAACCACTTAAAAGAAACTATAGTTTTGTATACAATTGTTTCAGTTTCCCTTGAAGGGAACTATCAGTAACACTGTGCTTAGGTTATGGACTCTAAGAAAAAAGGAACTCAGCCTGGAAATCTCTAGTACCAAATAAAGAGATCAAATCACTAAAAGCATGCCTGGTAACCTAAATAGTGCTTTTATGGAAAAAAAATAAGCCATACACATGCCCTGCCTATACCTCTTCCAAAGGACATAATGTCCTAGATCTAATTACAAACAAAACAGTTCTTAAAGTAATTGTTGTAGAGGATAGTGCAGAGCAGAGCCCCGACGCATCTCTCGCCGGTAAGGCGGCTCGTCAAGGGGGGGTTTATACTATTGATAGTCTTAGAATTAAGAAATATCTTTTGAGTTTATCTGTTGTTTTTCAACAGTAATATTTTGAACAAATATATTAAATGTTAAGCCTTAATTAAATTGACCCTAGTAGACAAGTATCTTTCTATTCAATTATATATATATATATATTATACACACACACATACACTCACACACACACTCACACACATCCAAGTGATTTTTATATCTCCAACCACCCTCCTGTCAACTTACCTTATGTGTCCAGGAGGGTGGCTTGGAGTCCTGCTGCTGGTGGGAGTGAGGGATCTGGAGCTCTTCATGCTCCTCTCCCCTCACACTGCGGCTGGCTCCTCCCACGCTGCCTCCCTGCAGGATGCTGGGAGGAAGTGACAGGCTGTCATTTCCTCCCAGTCAGTCACATACAGGGGGCCGGTCGCGGTCTTAAAGGACTGCGGCACCCGACCGTGCCCCTATTCAGCAGTAATGTATCCCCGGTGCTATAATCATAGCACTGGGGAAACATTTCGCGACACACAGTTTGGGAACCACTGGGCTAGTATATTATCTATCTTTCCCAGCTCCATGATTTAGAAATAGTGTTGCTGAGCTGGCTGTGTAGTAAATTAACCCTTGCTGTCTTATATGAGAATCAATAGTAAATCAATATCTTCAGTTTATGTTAATCAAATGTATAAACTTCCCTGCACACCTTACAGGGAGTGCAGAATTATTAGGCAAGTTGTATTTTTGAGGATTAATTTTATTATTGAACAACAACCATGTTCTCAATGAACCCAAAAAACTCTTTAATATCAAAGCTGAATATTTTTGGAAGTAGTTTTTAGTTTGTTTTTAGTTATAGCTATGTTAGGGGGATATCTGTGTGTGCAGGTGACTATTACTGTGCATAATTATTAGGCAACTTAACAAAAAACAAATATATACCCATTTCAATTATTTATTATTACCAGTGAAACCAATATAACATCTCAACATTCACAAATATACATTTCTGACATTCAAAAACAAAACAAAAACAAATCAGTGACCAATATAGCCACCTTTCTTTGCAAGGACACTCAAAAGCCTGCCATCCATGGATTCTGTCAGTGTTTTGATCTGTTCACCATCAACATTGCGTGCAGCAGCAACCACAGCCTCCCAGACACTGTTCAGAGAGGTGTACTGTTTTCCCTCCTTGTAAATCTCACATTTGATGATGGACCACAGGTTCTCAATGTGGTTCAGATCAGGTGAACAAGGAGGCCATGTCATTAGATTTTCTTCTTTTATACCCTTTCTTGCCAGCCACGCTGTGGAGTACTTGGACGCGTGTGATGGAGCATTGTCCTGCATGAAAATCATGTTTTTCTTGAAGGATGCAGACTTCTTCCTGTACCACTGCTTGAAGAAGGTGTCTTCCAGGAACTGGCAGTAGGACTGGGAGTTGAGCTTGACTCCATCCTCAACCCGAAAAGGCCCCACAAGCTCATCTTTGATGATACCAGCCCAAACCAGTACTCCACCTCCACCTTGCTGGCGTCTGAGTCGGACTGGAGCTCTCTGCCCTTTACCAATCCAGCCACGGGCCCATCCATCTGGCCCATCAAGACTCACTCTCATTTCATCAGTCCATAAAACCTTAGAAAAATCAGTCTTGAGATATTTCTTGGCCCAGTCTTGGCGTTTCAGCTTGTGTGTCTTGTTCAGTGGTGGTCGTCTTTCAGCCTTTCTTACCTTGGCCATGTCTCTGAGTATTGCACACCTTGTGCTTTTGGGCACTCCAGTGATGTTGCAGCTCTGAAATATGGCCAAACTGGTGGCAAGTGGCATCGTGGCAGCTGCACGCTTGACTTTTCTCAGTTCATGGGCAGTTATTTTGCGCCTTGGTTTTTCCACACGCTTCTTGCGACCCTGTTGACTATTTTGAATGAAACGCTTGATTGTTCGATGATCACGCTTCAGAAGCTTTGCAATTTTAAGAGTGCTGCATCCCTCTGCAAGATATCTCACTATTTTTGACTTTTCTGAGCCTGTCAAGTCCTTCTTTTGACCCATTTTGCCAAAGGAAAGGAAGTTGCCTAATAATTATGCACACCTGATATAGGGTGTTGATGTCATTAGACCACACCCCTTCTCATTACAGAGATGCACATCACCTAATATGCTTAATTGGTAGTAGGCTTTCGAGCCTATACAGCTTGGAGTAAGACAACATGCATAAAGAGGATGGTGTGGTCAAAATACTAATTTGCCTAATAATTCTGCACTCCCTGTATTTACTTATATAATATGTATTTGTTAATTATCAACTTAATAATACATTTTCTAATGGTTATTTACATGTTTATTAATTGTTTTAGCAGCTACGAAGACAAGATAGCAAGACAAACACATTGTTATCTTGGATGTATCAAAGGCAAACTAACAGGGCAAGACAAAGTAGCTCAGTGGATGACTTTGTAAAAACATTCTTGTTTTTCAAACTATTATTTGCTAATTCTGCTGTTTAGCTATATTTAAATACATAATCGATACACAAGATGAATGCTTATATGATCTGATATTTTCCACTTCACTGACAGAACTTTAGCTTGGGCTAATTCTATTTAAGAATCTAACACTTCAATGGTTTATAATTTTATGGAGTTCCATCCTGCCTCTAGAAGAACATTTGATATGCAAGGCCGTGTTAGTTATACAGCTTTGATGAGAATAAAGCAAGGATCACATACAGCATCTGTAGCGGAGCTCCAGTAACCCGACTAGATATCTTTGTCAATTCTTCCTCGAAGCAGTAAGAAACACTGTTGTGATTATTACCCTATCCCCCCCAGCAACTAGACGACACATAGTTCTAGGAGTCAACTGAGGTTTATTGAGCCACACTTGGCCTTTTATGCACAGACCCCCAGCATGCAGTCTCCATAGAATAGAATGCAAACCTCTCCCAGGCGTCTTTGAAATAATTGAGTCCAGAAAATGATAACAGCTATAGGAAACTATACAGAAATGCTCAAAAACATATTCATAAAACACAGGAACCCCACAAATGTTATATTCCTGAATAGCCTGGATCTGAGCATCCAAGTTGTCCAAATGGAATGGGATAGAATGGAATTGCCATTCGGGTAAAGTTCTGACCGGCAGGCCACAAAGTATTAGCCCAAAATAGTTCCACAGAAAAAGGGGCCTCGGCCAATCTATTTTCGGAGGTTCCTGTGCGAACACTGACGAACTCTTCCCCTGGCTTTCAGGGAACAAATGCTCCTCCTGGTTACTAGATCCTTTCTCCCGAACGCCATTCTCCTAATTGGTCAAGAAGCTGAACAGGTAGTGTTACAGTTTTCCCCAGCGTTCGCAGGATTGCGTAGCTGACACAGAGTTCAACACACTCGACGACCATGTACCGGTACCTTGCTAGTTCTTCTGCTTTACCCCTAATCCAAAAGGCAACACCCTTGGTCGTTGAGAACATAGTTGGTAGACCATTGCTCAAACCAGAAATAACTCATAAAATGAAAGAAATTATCATGATCTATTGGGGTTTTACACAACTAGGGTATTCATTTGTCAAGTTATTTCTTCTCCATCATGTCCCATTGTATTGGGTTTCCCTTGGTTATATAGACACAAACCTGCCATAGATTGGGAATTAGGATTGATTGTTGCATGGGGTAAACACTGTCATAATAACTGCCTTGTACGCTTGTACATCCTGTGTAGAATATGACTATGTTCCTATTTATATTCATAGTAGGCATGGATGTCTAATGAGTTAAAAAGAACAGATGGTACTTTGCTATGCTGTACCAGGAGAACTCTGGAATGTGTTATTTGGGGGTCTTGTCACATGTCTAGGGTTATATTTAAAAGGTCTGACATCATTATGGTCATAGCTGTATAGAATAGGGGACAAAGGACCACGAGAGTTGGCTGTTGCTTGCTGCTTGCTGCATAAGGTTGTTCTTTTCGTCCGGCTGTCTAACTATGTAGACTCTAACTCTCCCTTCAGGAGTCCAGCAATTAACATCTGCTGTTGAACATCCATTATCCTATAACATCCTTTGTTGTTTTATTACGTATCCATAACTGTAAGAATAAACCTGAAGAAACCGTAAGTCAGATTGCGTATTGGTATTTTTAGTTAATATAGACATATATCAACCTGGCGTGCCTTTTACCCAAGAAGAAATATATATAAAATACTTATTTCAATCAATCTGGAACAACACAGAGAAAAGGCAATTGTATTACATCTGGCTGGCCATCCAGTCTTCTATTCAAGTTTTTTTTCCCACTTCCAGGGGGAGAGAGAATAATCGAGTTACAAAGCTGAGTTTTGGAACTAGGAAATCAAACTTGAAGAGAAAAAAAAGAATCGAGACTGTGTCACAGAGACTAAGAATATTTGCACAGAAAAAGAACTGCGTGAAGAACTGTGTGTTTGTAAGAAAAAGAACGTTTTCAAACCAGAAAGACTGTACAAGATTATTTTCTGCAAGCTACAACGTGAATTCTAGAAGCAAGTATGTGTCAGAGATTGGAAAGTTTCCAGATCCAGGTCCAGAACTGCGCAGCTGTGTGGATGAGGCTACGAAATAGACAAAAATAACTGATCAATTGTTTGTGAATAAGAAAAACATAAAAGATCAGAAATGTTTATGAATCTAGTCTGTATTTACAATGCATTGATTTGTAAACGAGATGCAGGTCAAGAAAATTTAGACTCAGCAGATAGAGAAATAGATTTGAATGAGTTTACTGATGACAAATCAGATTTAAATGAAAAGTGTAACAATGTAACTCAGGGTACATGCTGTAACTGTGAGAGATTGTCAGAAACAGTCTGTGAACTAGGGGATAGAGTTGAACTAAGAAATTATCCTATTTGCCAGCTTAGAAATGAAGTAAAGCAAGTGTGTGTGAACACAAGAAAAGTGCAGGCATAGAATTTATTCCCAGAACTAATAGATATGTGAGAACATATCCTCACAGAGTGATTTGCAGAAATGTAAATTTCAAGACAGAGCAAAACTTAATTTGAAAATCCATGAACAATTAAAGGGCCACTATAGTGCCAGGAAAACACTCATTTTCCTGGCTCTATAGGGTCCTTGGGTCCCCCTCCTGCCGGGCTCTAGGGGGAGGAAGGGGTTAATCCCTTACCTTTTTTCCAGCACCGGGCTCCCTCGGTGCTGGGGACTCTCCTCTTCCTTTCCTGTCATCGGCTGAATGCGCATGCGCGGCATGAGCTGCGCACGCATTCAGCCAGTCTCATAGGAAAGCATTCTCAATGTTTTCCTATGGACGGCACTGTGAAAATCCCAGTGAGAAGCGCCTCTAGCAGCTGTCAATGAGACAGCCACTAGAGGCTGGATTAACCCATTTGTAAACATAGCAGTTTCTCTGAAACTGAAACTGCTATGTTTACAGCAGAAAGGGTTAATCCTAGAGAGACCTGGCTGAAGTGGTCTGGATGCCTTTAGTGGTCATTTAATGAAAATTTTGAAAGGTATTCCAGTTTATGAGTTTATAAGTTTATAAGTCAGTGGATTCAATTACTAATGCTAAAATGTTTGAGTCAAATTTGGACAAATATAACCCAAATGACAAACAAAGGAATAGACTATTTAAAATATGGCTGCCGCCTCAAATGGCATGTAGGCTGACCGTGCCCGTAAGATTTGAGGACAATGATGAAATAATGTATGAGAATGGACAAGACAGATTAACACAGTTAATAAAATTAACAGGGAATGATTTAGCAGACATTGAAATGTTGGAAAAACTAAAACCACACAATTATGATATTTTTGGTTTTCTTGTAAAATTTGAAAGTGCATATAGACTTGTTGCCAATTTTCCTGAAGATCAGTTAATTAATGAATTTGTGAAAAAATGTAAAGGTCTAGATCCAACTGCAATTATAATTGCTAAAGAAAAAAGAACTATGAGAGAAGTTGCTTTGTTTTTACACAAATTAAGGCGGGAGTCCAGAAATGAAGGAGTTAAAATGGCTTGTGAAATTAGGCAGAGAAAGACTTTGACTCCTCCTCCTTCTTGGACAAAGTGTGAAAGAGTGATACAGATAGCTGAACCCCTCCCAGTTTTCTCTACTAGAAACTGCAGAGCTAACAATCAAAGGCAGAATGTAACCCGTAAAGTTATTTTTATTTTTTTTTTGCAAAAAAAAAAATAATATTTAAGGTCTTACAGATATTTTATCCGAGATATCAAATCAAATGGAAATGAGAAAATAAATCTGTTGATTAAAAATTTGATAAAAGAAATACATGTAGTGATAAATCAATAATGGCCTTTCCTTGTAAACTGATAATCAGACAAATAAGTGAAATTTTAGCTAAATAGAAATTAGGCTCAGATAACCTCACAAGACATGATCAGTTTAGAGAATGAGCATGGATGTGTGTGCCAACAGATGTACACAGGCTGATTCCAGAGATAACAGCATACGAATAGAGATCTATGTTTGTTTGTTGTCTTACTGATTTTTTATTCTTAACTGTTTTACATTGTTTTTATGTGTGGTATAAAAAGGTATTATGTTAACTAACTAAAATAAATATGCACATCAAGGTTGCAAGTATGGCAACATGAAATACACTAATGTAGCAGTTGTTAGGAACATACATTGTATGTTTATTGCTCACAACGGATGTATTCCTTGTTACTTCTGGGGTATATTTAAAATATTTGATGTAATTCATGAGAATGAGATTTTAATATCATGCCTGATAATGGATTACTATATTTTGCAAAGCATGGACATACATATGTTTTGACTATATATAAGACCAAAGTTTTGATAGGTTAAAAACCTAGATTTGCAAATACATTTGATGTAGGAAACAATATTTGTCTTTTGTAGTTTTGTTTCATGTGACAAAATGGTGCCAGTGTTAAGACAAGATGGCTACTATTGCTAAAGTGTAGTGTAAAACAACATTATTCAGTAATATCTGAAATATGACAAGATTATACCTCCAGATTATTAAACAGTTTAAAAGGGGGGTATGATTAGTAAAGAGTTGGAAAATTAAAATGTTCAGAAAGATATTCTGATAAAAGGAAAATTGAAGGTTATACATCACATGGCACAAATTTAATGATCACAAGATGATAGATCTCACTATAAGAAATGAGAATATTTTGGAGTCTACGTAATTTAATGTTAAACTGTATAATAATACGAGTGAGTTGTAAATGATGTAAGCCACTGTGTTGATGCTGCACATGTTTTTTGTTTTAATGTAGGTAAAGCGTGACAGATCATTGTTGTGACAATAAATTAGGAAAGCATTTCATTAGACAACTGGACATCGGCTGTTGGAAAGAGACTTTTCATATGACCTGCAAACTGTGATGGAAGATTCTACAGACTTAATTTGATACAGAAGATCAACAGACTTAAACAGGAATAAATTATTAACACTAACATACATATCAATTCCTAAATATTAACCAAGAAGAAAACGGACAATGAAAAGTTATTTATCAGTTATGAGTGTATTAATACCAAGATAGAGTATTTATAAATGCGTAACACATGAAGTAAAATCACAAAAGCATAGTATTATGAAGAGAACTATTACATTATGACCTATATATATGATGAGTAGTGTAAAGGATCCCTGCATACGTGCAGCGATGATCCTTGCAGCTTCTCCCGAAATCCCGCTGAAACAGAGTGATTATAGCTTCCAATTCCCCAAACATGAGTCGAGACTTCATGAAGGGGTAAAACGATCTGATTTACTGTGGGCTACCCGCCCGGTATTTATGCAGGTCTTCCACCTGGTGGACACTCCCCTAGGGGACCAGATGGAAGACTGGGACAGAAGTAACACAGTAGCCAATCACAGTGGCTATAGGATAAACACTCCCCTTTACACAAATCACTCCCTCTTTCCCATCCTGGAGATAATTAGATTAAGGTAGCAGAGAGAGCCGTAATTATCTCCAGAAGGAAAGAAACATGCCTTTTTATATTTAGCAAAAGCAGAATAAAAATACATAACTTTCTTTTTATATAACATAAACTTTAAGTTCCACACATCCCCAGATAGCTTGGATCTGAGTGCATATTCTAGGCGAATAGCGCTCAGATCCCACGAACACAGGTCCCAGAATCGTCGACTGATGTTTGACTTTCCCTGGCCATTCGTGTATTTGTAACCGATTGCCAGTCCTCTATTATAGCTATCTGAGGTCAGTCACGTTCGCATACTTTAATGCACGAATGAAGGATTATCCCTTCATTCGTATGTTCCACCGTATGAACGAGAATGGGTGAAGGTAGCAGCGGCGTTCGACAAAATATGTCGCTGAAATCAGTTCCAGGGAATCCTCACCATTTGCCGCTGTGCGTTCGACAAAACCAAAATGGCGATTGCCACGTGTTCGGGAGGTGAACGCGGACCACCCGCTATACCAATTAGTTTGTGGTTAACCGCAACAGTCAGGGTGGTCAATGAGCGCCACACGACCTCAGTGGGAGGTCGGTGGTTCGGTAGTTTGTTCGCCTTATTTGATAGTTTCACGAAATCCTATTGTAATGTTCCAAATAACCGAACAGGCGTGTTCGTGAAGGCTGTGAATAGGGGATTTCGTTACAAGTAGTATAAGAGGTAGATGAAAACATGAAATCGATAAAATAAAGATCATGTACACGTAATGCTGCAAAAATTGAGTTCAATAGTATTTCATAGATTCACATGAATGAGTAATTTGTTAATATTGAGGTGAAGTAAAACAAACTATGGTAACAAAAAGAAGAAAACTAAGTAAGGATAATGTATATTGATTAATATTAAGAAATGTTATACATAAAGAATATCTTGGATATAAGAGTTCAGAGATCCAAGAGGAATTGAATTAGAATTGTAGTTTAGTTAAGAGTATAGTACACAATTATATTTAACCTTAGTCTATAATGTTTTGGGCTAGGAAGAATAGTTTTCTGGATAGGACGGTATCCAATGAATAAGTGGTTATACGATGTTATGATTACCTTGAGTTTGTAAGACATGGACTAGGGATAAGAGTTTCTAGGCAGTATGATCCAATGTTTATTTTAGTTTAGTTAGTTGAAGAAGTGTACTAAGGAATACGGATTGGTCAGAACAAATGTTTGGGAAACATTTGGACAATCCTACTTTCATGTTGAGATTTATTACATTAACAAGTCATCACAATTAAGGTAAATAAGTAAAGATAAATGCTAATGAAGAGAGTGATGATAATAAATTTTAATTATTCAGGTAGAAATTTAGTAGCAATGATAATGATGTAAACAAAAACAGATGGATGTGAGACAAAAACTAATTCTACTGGACTCAAGAATCTACAAGTAAAATCCTTGGCTAATGATTCTTTTGTGTATTCCTCGATTATCATGTTTTCCTTTTCAGAGAGTGGATAGACTGGCATGGTACCATGAAGCAAGTCACAAAGAAAAACACCAGATTAATCATTACACCCATGCCGTTTGATTCTAAAAAATTGGCACACTCAGAAAGGAATTATGACATAGGGAATAGAGAGCTCCTAGCTATCATAATGACATTGAAAGAATGGAGACATCTATTGTAGAGATTCAAACATCCTATATTAGTGATCACAGATCATAACTGGAATATATGCTGTGACAAAGTGCCCTTTGCCACTTGTGCCTGGAGAGGACTAATTGCCAGCCTCTTGTGACTATGGCCCCTGGGAGGGTTTGCCCTTTAAAAACATTATTTGGGCATATTGGATTTTATTGCACTGTTTCTGCCCCTTTGATTCCATGGGAGAATGTACCTCTTCCCCTCCCCCTTTTCCTGTCCATTGTTCTCCAGCAGGGCGTTGTCCCAGGAACACTGCCAGACCAGTTGAAACTGGCTGCTTTGTCCCTCCTCAGTCTATCTTTGAACCACTGGACCAAATTGTATGATTTTTGGATATGTTTGTATATGAAGTATGCTGATTTAGAATATGTATTATTAATATTGCATGTATACTATTAAAATTATAAGAATTGTATAAAAACTGTATTTTCCTGCCTGTGATAATTACATTAGCCCATTGTGTACTGTAATTCTATCACAGGCAGAGGGGAGGATTTTGCTGGAATGAATGGGAGTGTTTAACTGTATTGTACGTTGTTGTTTGGCTATTCCACAAGACCACGTGGGTGGTAACCTGCATAAAAGAAAGTTTTTTGGTGCTCATTAAACAGTTCTGTTCCTGTTTGACTGTCAATACTTAGCCTTGTCTCGTTATTGGAGGGAACTGCTATAATCACACTGGGGATTGCTAGGCTCTGCATACTCCCTTGAGCTTTAAATCACTTAGCTCTTCTAAGAGCTGTTCCTGATATGCTGTCCTGGTGGAGTGGTCTTACCCACACAGTCCTGGATGTTGAAGGTTCATACAGGGTGGAAGGAAGAGGTCTTTCCCACACGGTCCTGGAAGACAGAAGCTGATCCAGGGTGGAAGGAAGACAGCGAGACTACCATTTAAGCTACGGCGGTTGTGGAGTCTGCGTGGTTGTGGTGTCCGTTGCGTTGCTTTTGGTCCTTGGCACAAGCTAGGAAGCGTCCATCAACGGAAGGTACTCGGTCGGGTGCCAGGTGATCCATTACATATTGGAAAAAGAAAAAGAGAAACTGGAAAAAGATTTTGTTCTTTTTTTTTTTTCAATGTCTCCTTTTTATTGGTATTTATAGGAAACAAGTACATACATAACTGGGGGTATGTGGGATACAGAAAGGAAGATGGGGAAAGGTACCGCTCAGTCAAAAACAACAGTGAAATGTACATGGTTTGACATACATCGTATTACAGTTAATACACGAGTTGAGAGGTTCTGTTATAATACGCCAATCAATTTACCAGAAGCCAATTAGACGGACCGCATCTATGGGTGAGTTGAGGTGGAGTCGGGGGTTTTGTGAAGTCGTGGGCACCGATAATGGCGGACTATCAGGGGAGATGATATCAATAGTAACAATGAGGAGGGTCGTGGGGTCCTGCCCTCAGAGGTTTGAAGGTGTCAAATTGCTACAACGAGGCCTGGGTGGGTATTATTTATTATTATTCTTTATTTTATTTATTTATTTATTATTATTTATTACTTTATCAGTTTTGTGGTTCGTTGTGTGGGGGGATTTTCAATTTGGGGAGGGAGCCGAGTGCCAGCTTTGCCATAGGAGAGTGTGTTTCGTCTCGCGACCATTCAGTCGGAATGCTAGACGTTCAAGTTCATAAGTCGATTGTACCCTATTGCGTACTTCCTGGATAGAGGGGGGGTCCGAACTTTTCCATCTGCTTGCAATACTGATTTTGGCTGCAAGGAGGATATGGCACACAACCACTTTGTGAGGAGATAGTAATAAACCAGTGTAGATATGAAGGAGGCAACACTCTGGGCGTGCGGGCAAATCTACCTGTGTGATTGATTTAGTCATGTCTCTAACTTGTTGCCAGAACGTCGTCAGTGTGGGGCAACCCCAGAATATGTGAAGCAATGTGCCCACCCCGCTCTTGCACCTCCAACATGTCGGTGACGTTGAATGATACATCTGGGCTAGGCGCGAGGGTACCAGGTACCATCTCATCAGTAGCTTACAGTAAGACTCCCAGTGGGATAGACTGTGAGATGCCGCTCGAGTGATTTGGATAAACTGTAGCCACATAGGGAGGGGGAATTGGGCTGTCAAGTCAGTTTCCCACTGGAGCATATACGGGTGTTTTAAACAACTGTCCGCATCATTTAGTGCATTGTAGCACAGAGATAGGGGTTTGGTAGCCTGCTGTCGGGAGAGGCAGTTCCTGCCAAAGGTCGTTAATTGATCCGCCTCACAGTGCCGTATCTTTGTAGTGGTAAGAATATGCTTGATGCGTAAGTATGTAAATATTTCCCTAGACGGCAGAGCGTATTCTGTTTGCAGCTCGGGGAATTGTTTAATGCCCTGTGGTGTGAATAATGAGCCCACCGAGGTGATCCCTTTAACTATCCAGACTTTCAGTGGGAGATCGCTGGTCAGGACGTTCATTCGGGACAAGGGGGCGAAGAGGAGTGGGTGAGCTTGCCCCATCAAATCTTTCGCCCATCTGCTCCATCCGGACAGCAGAAATTTAGTGTTGGGCAGACCTACCAAGGAAGGATTTGGGTGACCAAGTACGTTCCACAGATGGTGTGGGATCGTATCTGGGTGAAGGGTTGCATTTTCTAGGGGAAGCTATACTGGGGGGTTGGGGCGGGTAAGGACTTCCATACCCTGGGCTAGTACAGATGCTTTGTAGTATGTTTTTATATCAGGTAAGCCTAGGCCTCCTTTATTAGGGGGGAGCCACGTGAGTCTACGAGCTATTCTCGAGGTTTTTTCTTCCAGATGTGGGAGTTTAGAACGGATTGGAATTTCTTGAGGAGCGTATCAGGAAGCGCAATAGGGAGTGTGCGGAAGAGATACAGAATGTGCGGCAGTACCATCATTTTGATGGTCTGCACCCTACCCATCCATGAGACCTCCAATGCGTTCCATTTATCCAGCTGTGTTTGAAGCTTGGTCAGTAGTGGTAAATGGTTTTCCCGCGTGAGCCCAGCAGGGGAGGCTGTCAGGTTAATCCCCAGGTATTTCAGGGACGTATTTCTCCAGTCAAAGGGATATGCTGCTTTCAGCTTATTTATTAGTGAGGCCGATAGTCCCATTGGGAGCACCTGGGTTTTGTTGGAGTTGTTTTTATAGTATGAGACCTGACTGTACTGTGTTAGTAAAGACAGTAATGTTGGTATGGATTGTGCAGGTTGTGTGAGGAATAGCAGAATATCATCTGCGAATAAGGTCAGTTTTTGTATGCCTGCTGGTGTGTTGAGACCCTGTATCTCGGTGTGTCGTTTGATGTGACGGATGAGAGGCTCCAAGCAAAGGATGAATAACAGGGGGGACAGTGGGCACCCCTGCCTAGTGCCATTGCTAATTGAGAACGATTCTGATAGAAACCCTGTGTTGAAGACCCTAGCGGAAGGGGCGCTATATAGTGCCATGGTGGCCTCCATAAATGAACACGGGAAACCCATCCTGTTGAGGGTCGCCTTTAGGTAGACCCAATTTAACCGGTCAAATGCCTTTTCGGCGTCTAGCCCTAGGACTACTCCCTTTTGGTTGCTGGATCTCGCCCAACTGATCAAGTTCAGGCAGTGTCTCGTGTTGTCTCCGGCTTGCCTACCCGGGACAAATCCCGCTTGTTCTACGGATACCAATTCCGTGAGAAGGGGTTTGACCCGTAAGGCCAGGAGTTTGGCAAAGAGTTTGACGTCTGCGTTAAGGAGTGAGATTGGTCTCAGATTCTCACATTTAGTGGGCGGTTTACCCGGTTTGGGAAGAGTGACAATATGTGCTTCTAACATTTCCTTTGGCATGGCACCCTTTGTTTTAATGTCATTAACCCCTTAAGGACACAGCTTCAGAAGCTTGTCTTACGCTTAATGACACAAGCAATTTTTGCATTTTCTTGCTGTATGCGTTCAACTGCAATTTGCATCTCTCTCGTTTATTGCACCGACACATATTATATACTGTTTTTTAAAGGACATAAAGGGCTTTAATTTGATGTAACATATATATATATAAATGCTTATTTATTATTTAAAAAATACAGAAAAATGCAAAAAAAAGAAAAATTTTGTGTTTTTTGTACAGTTTTTGCAATAATAATGTGTGCCTAATTAGTGCAGGTTAAAGAAAGTAATTAAAAATAAATTTATTTAGTTGTTCTGATTTACAAAATATATAATGTGTCTGGGATTTAAAGTTTTTTTTGGTAGTTACAGGTCATAAAGCACAAGGAGTAAAATAAACTTTTATTGTAGAGCGATTTTAGAATTTTGTATGTTTGTCTTGTAAGCTTAATAGCCATAAAAGAAAACAAAATTGCCACACAAAAGTATATATTTATATAAAGTAGACATCACAGGCTATTGTCCTAAGGTTTTTTTGACACTTTCTAAGTAGCCATTTCACCGCCAATCTCTGCTAAATATTGGAGTAAAATTTAGTTTTTTGGAGTTTTTGGCACACAAACTTATAACAAAGAACTTCCCATGTATATTTTGTAAAGTTGGTGTGTGCTATTCCTGTACAAAGTTTTATTTTGTGTTCAGTTACTTCTGCTGAGTACAACGATACCCCCATTGTATGTCTTTGGCACTATTTCGTGAAGCTACAGTGCCATATAGGAGACCTGTCCGTTTCAACATTTACAGTAGAATTTTGAGAGGCGGATTTAATGGGCCTATGCTTCAATTTGGGGTATTATAGCAGTTTGACTGTTCAAAAAAAAACCACAAAGGCCTACCATTTATAAAAGTAGACACTCCAGGGTATCTCATATGGTGCATATTGTGCCTTAACATGCCCCCATTTTTTCACCAATATATGCCAAAGTATGTGGTAAAAAATAATTTTGGGCATTTTTTACATACGGATTACATTTTTGCTGGGCATTTTGTACATTTCATATGTGCCACTAAGTTCAAACCCCCCAAATTATGCTCAGCTAAGTCTTCTGAGTAAAACAATATGCCCAATGTATGACCTAGACACTATTTTGTGAAGTTACACTGCTATAAAAGAGACGTAACAAGTTAAGGTTTTTAAGTGTGAATTTTCATGGAGGGTTTTGATGCGTCCGTGCCCACTTTGGAGCACTTGAGCAGGCTACATATTACAACTACACCATAAAGGCATACCATTTCTTAAAGAACACATCCCAGGGTATTTCAAAAGGCATATTTTGAACCTTAGCGTGGGATAATTTTTCCGCTAGCTTGTACCAAGTGTAATGGTAATAAGCGTTTTTTTGCCTTTTTGACACACAAAGTAAATTTGCGCAGTACATTTTGCAAATCTTATGTGTGCTACGACTGTATAATACTTCATATGTTGCTCAGCTATGTCGGCTGAGTACATCAATACCCCCGTATGTACCTTTGCCAGGTATATGTGGACATCGGAGGGGCACATTTGGGACACAGCCATTCCAGTTCATTTCAAACTTTAAATTTTTACACTGTTCCCATGTCCCATTTTAGAGTATTTTACCAGGCTATATAATCCAAATACCCCATAAAGCCATACCATTTCTTAAAGAAGACATCCCGGGGTAATTCAAAAGGCATATTTTGAACCTTAGCGTGGGATAATTTTTCCGCTAGCTTGTACCAAGTGTAGTGGTAATAAGCATTTTTTCTGCCTT